GAATGGCGGTTGTGCTCCTTCTTGAAGATCAATTGAGTAATCATAGGGACGATGTTTCGAGAGTGTATCCGCATTCTTTTTTTCGAATACATCTTAAAATTCTTGATATTGGCTTGGAATGCTACTTAAAGTCTTTTCACTAATAGAAACAGGTGTGGCATAAATAATATATGGTGATTCTTTCATAGCAGCATGCAAGAAAGCTTTTATACCTATAAATACGGGTTTAATTGAACTGGACTTATGACTCTCTACTTGATTAACTACACTGTTAGTTATACTTTTAGAGAAAGTAAGAGTTCAGAAAATCCAATCTATTTGAGGGTTGTATTTTTCTAACCACGATAAACCTAAAATGACTGGATTAGAGGGAGATCTAATGATATTAAATACTACAAAACTATTATGACCATTGATTATTAGTTCTATAGGAAGGATTTTGTGAGTAATATCTCCAAAAAACAATGGACGACTATCTATGGCTTCTACATGAACAGGTTTAGTTTTCTTTACTAAAGATATGTTATGTCTTTTAGTAAATTCTTCATCTAAAAAATATGCTGAGGCTCCTGAATCTAACAAGGCAGAGACTTTGTTTAGGTCCTAAAATAACATTTAACGTAAAACAAGGAGAGGGCTCTGAGGAGAGAATAGGACCTTTACTAGATGTTGTGCAAGGTTCCAGCCGCATGGTCCCTATTGTAGCAGGACAAACTCGTTTTTCAACATATTGTCTTCTTTCACAGCCATACTCTTCATTTTGTGATTGTGTCATTTCTTTGGATAATGTTGAACAGTGTGCTTTGGTTCTCCTCAATATAAATATAATCCTTCTTCACGACGATAAGTCTTTTCTTACTCAATAAGAGGTTTGAAATGTATTGCATCAATTTGCATATCCTCTACTTCCAAATGTATGTATTGAAGAGGTGTTGGTATTGCCATTGAATTATAGTAACGTTGAGGTCCACTTGTATGGTTCTCAGATCGGAATTCAAAAAGGCGATTGTCGCACTTCACAACAAAGTCAATTGCTTGACTCAATGTTTGAGGATCAGGTAAGTTGAGCATTAATTTTTTTACCTCATATTATAATCCATAGAGAAATTAGCTAATAAGTGCAACATCATCCTACTTGATATTAGTTGCAAGTTGTCAAAATTGTGAAGCGTACAACGTTACTGATCGATTGTCTTATCATAAAATATAGATCTTATTGGTTGCAACACAAATTGCATCATGTTCTCCATACATGGATTGAAACTGTGCTAGAAAAGCCTCTAGATTATCTAATATTGGATCTCGTCGTTCAAGAAAAGATGAAAACCACGATAGTGTTGAACTTGAAAGAAGCGTACCAAATAATCTAACTTACGATCCTCGAGTTGGATAGCTTTAGAGTTGAAGTTCAATCAGAAGTTGCACTTGATTGATAAATCCTCGAAACTTGGATCTGGTGCCATCAAACTTCTCGGGTAGGGCAATTCTTGGTTCTTTAACATTTGAAGGGCGTTCCACCATAGGAGAAAGGACATGATTTGGTACAGATGTTGAAGCAGCTCCAATCATTTCTATATCTTTACTTCCTGCCAATCTTGTTGCTCCTTGTGGTGGTAAATTGAGTTGATGCATCGCAAGCATTAACTCCCTCAATTGCTCTTACATTTATACCATTGCACTCTTCATTTCAACAAGTTCTGCCATGATAACACTTAGAAGAGACAAGATGTTTAATATTGCTCAAGACAAATAGAAGACAGGACTTGGGAACAAAGAAAATACTAAGGACAATATCAATTTAAAAGAGGGTAATCCGCAACTTCTAATATGCTTATATCTTATCAAGAAAAAGGGGTAATCCACTCTTAATCAAGATTAGACAAAGCTCTGATATTGTAGGTGCACTCTTGTCAATCTGTTAAGGACAAGAACTCGATAAAAAAGAAATTGAGACAAGTCAGCCTTCACTCAAAGAAAAGTAACAAAATACAAATAAACAAGTATGTATATTGAAATAGAAACTGAAATGGCTATTGCCAAAAGACAAGAAAATTAGAGATCCTTGAAACTAGACTAGAAGCAAGAAAGGAGTTGACAAGAGTGAAGAAGGCTTCACTCTTATCTCTATATATACTATCTAACTAGGGGCTACGTGGCGACATTCTATAGGACCTCCAATATGTGTTGACTTTGTAGGACACATGCCTTGACTTACAAGGCAAGTTTTTCTACGTGTAGGCCATATAATTAGCTTGATGTTCAAGCTAACAACATGTATGGCACATGGCCAACTTATTGACCACGTTACTAATCCAAAAAATTAATTAAAGATACCTATGAAGTCAAAGCAGCGTCTATGAAGCTTCTAGGAAGCTTTTATATTAAATATTATAGAATTAACTTAATTTTACCTACTTTTACATACTTCCATCTATTTATATTTGTAATTACTAGCTTACATGAGTATGTCCATGAAAATCCCACTTAAATAAATACTCTAAATTCTTTTTAGAATGTTCTACAATGGATCCTACCTAGTCTACTAACTTAATTCTAATTTTAGAAATTTCCATGATTCTAACTATCTATACAATTATCTTATTTATATCATATTATAGAGACTCTTTCTTTTCATCTACAATGTCCCTAAGATCCAATGAAGCTAACAAAAGTTCCATTTTTTTCTCCTTGTAGTAAAAGTTGTCATTCATAAACTTCTCAAGTACTCTCAAACTCTCACCCTCTCTTAAAGCCATATCTAAAAAAATGATGTATCAAAGAAAATCCAAAAAAAATAAAAAAAATAAAAAAACTCTCAAAATCAATAAGAAGGTGTTGTTCTTTTAGAAAACCTAGAATACCTTCTTTGTGAATAAACAAGTGATTTCATTCTTTAAATGCTCTCAACTTCACTTATAAGACTTTTCACAAGTCTTATATTCTATCTTAACTTCTTGTATAAGCTTTGCTACTCTTCAATCACCCTTTTTCTTTTATAAAATACTTCTACCTCACAAAATACTTCTTATCACTATAGAAGAATCTCAAAGAAAGTTTATCACATAAAACTACAATATTAGATCACAAGTGATTTAAATCAATAAAAAAAATATAATATTAGTATTCTAAAATATCATTCTAAGGTATCTAACAACCTCCAAGATTATCAATGTACTTAATAATAAATAAGAATAAAACTATATCAACAACTAGTTGCAATAATGAAGTTAAATGATATCAAATCCTAATATCAGCAACAACCGAAAGATCTACTCCTCACAATAATTAAGACTTCAAAGAACTTCAAAACTCATAACTAAAGCTCAGTGAGCCTATAACCTATTAAAGAACAAGCACTATGAAGTCACAACACTTAGCATCAGTAAAGCTGCACACAAATAGAGTATGGAGTAAGATATCTCTCACTTCCAACATCCATTACTTATAGGTGGTGGCTGCTGCCCTAATGGACAACTTCGATCCTTTGATGAATACATCCATCCAACATTCTACTAAGACTATTTATTATTATTTTATCTACTATAAGAATATATTTTTAGCATATTTTGTATATTCTTAAGATCTTTGGTTATTTCATCTACTTTTTTTCTTGGCCTTCTTACATACTAAGAACCAACTCTTTAATCAATAGTAACTTACTTAAAGTAATATCTTCTATAAGGTAACTTATTCTATTTTTATATTTACTTACTCACTTTAACATTATATACAAATATATACATCATAATGAATTATTTTAAAAGCTTTAATTTTTAAAATAATTTTGTGACATATTTTGTTATTATTTAAATAATAATTTTAGGTTAAAAGGTTAAATCATCATTATAATCATGACATAACTTCAATATCTATATTAGCTCTAATCATTTATGATATTTATAACTAAGCTTATGAAAAAAATAATTTATAGTTTCTTAAAAACTCACTTATTCAAAATGAATTCAAACCATGGTGTTAAAGCCTAATAAAATTCTTCCACAACTAAGAACGTGTGATGTGACAAAATTAAATAGCCGAATTTATGAAAATATTCCATTTAAAGTTTTGAGATGAAATCTGAAAAAAATAAAATAAAATAAAAAATGTTATCTAAGCTTGAGTGAAAACATTGGATGAAGAAGTTAATAAAAAACTAAAATAAAGACTAAATTAATCCAAACATACAGAAAAAAACTTGTCCAAATGAGTAACCTTATTTAACTTATGCATGTGTAGTAATTTATATTTAAGTTTTATACTTGAATGATAAGGATGAATACAATGTCATGAATAGGAGAACCTTAAAGATTGGGATTCCAAAAAAAATGACTTTCTATGTGTAGAATTTAATCAAGAATTTTAAAAATCTTTAGCTTTTGTAAACCTTAAATACAAAAGTAAAAATCAATGTAATTAAATTAAAAATTCAATAAAATTTATCATTTGATGGATCTTCATTGATTAAGAGAGGAATCCAAATAATCTACATCACCATGTGTATAAGAATTTAAATAATAACAAATAAACTACACATTAGATCGTATAAAGATTTTTTTTTGTTTCATTCTTAAACACTTGTATAGGAGAGGAATAACAATTTACTATACAACAGAAGGAAACACACAAAAATGAAATATAGGATAATATAAAAGTCAATGTCCAGGTGTGATACTCCATCTACTATGTTGTGATATAATTGTGGCTTTTATATCTCGATATTTACATTCACAAATTTCAATATAAACTAGTTCTATGACCCACATGAAAAGACACACAAAGGAAAAAAGAAACAATAAAAAATATAAACTTTGAGATGTAAAGTTTACATAGGTTAGGTTGTGGGCATTGCATAAGCTCCAAAGCAGAATCTTTCATATCACAAATGTGGACGAAAAGTACTCGTGTAGAACTTTAGAATATGGGAAAGTAGTAGGAAAAAGAGAAAGGAAAGGAAAAAGGGGAAAGCGAAGGGTAGGCAAGAAGAAGAAGAAGAAGTAGTAACTCACTCACTCGCTCACTCGCTCAGTCGTCCGTCCGTCCGTCTCTCGCAATTCTAACTCCGTTCCTACTCCTGGACCCGCAGGATCGGCGCTATTCCTCCCTCGTTGGTTTACTGCGTGGACAGGTTTGCTTGTGTGCGTGCGTGCTTGTTTGCTTGCTGGGCTGGGTTGGCTTGCCAGTAAGGAGGGAGTAGTCATGGCTGGAGGAGGTCCCTATTCCGGCTCCAGCACTTTAGCCCTTGTCAGTCATTCACTCCCCTCTTGATTCCTTCTTCGTTATCTGTTTCTTGTCCATCGGTTTCTTCCCCTTTGCTGATCCTCACCTCTTGCTCACTCTCTCTCTCTCTCGCTCTCTCTCTCTCTGTCTCTCTCTTCGTAGGTGGCGAGGATATCTGCTGTTTCCGTGGGGCTCGTGTACGGCAGCATGAAGCTCGCCTATCTTAAGGTTTGCACCAGTTTCCTTCACTTATTTGTTTTAGATTTGTGTTAGGGTTAGGGCTTTGTATGTTTGGGAACAGAACTTTCCTTGTATTCGTGAATGTGATGGAGCTCCTCGTTTTTTTCGAGTATACTGCATGATTCCTTTCTTTTCTTTTCTTTTCTTTTTATCCTGGATTATGATTGATTGATTGATTGATATTAGGGAAATTCATCTCTTGTTCGAATTAGAGTAATTCTTAACCTTGACTAGATTTTAAAAAGGTTTTCGTTATTTTTTTCCTGTTAGGCAAAGACGCCGACTCCAGTGAAGCATTGAGTTTTTGGAAGTTGTGAGAGGTGGGGGTGTTGAAAATAAACATATGAGGATAAAAACGTTTTAGCGAGGCTTGCCGTATGGCAGTGGAGGAAAGACCCCTGCCGATTCTCACTGAAACTGGTAGATCTTGTTCTAGGGCGATGATTCGCTCATTTAACTCCAGTTCATGATAACAGTGAACAAGAGAATATCATAGTTACATCAGTTGATTTATTTATTTATTTCTCTCCTACTTGCACGATTCTTTTATGTTTGGTCCGAATGAGTTGGCGCAGCCTCTAAGCGAGCAGTATGAAGAAATTTTCGTGGTATGGATTGTTTGTGTGCAATTGATATGCAATTGCAATTTCTCTTGTCTATTCCTGCACTGTACGAAAGAAAGTTGGCATTCTGCCTTCCTTTCAAAGCGCTCCCTTACAATGATGACTCGAATTCTAAGTGAATGCAGATCTTGATGATTCGCATGCAACTGTAAGTTGAACATGCAATACTATTTTGAAGGTTAAAGGATCCACAACTTTCGTATATCACAACTGTTCTACTTTAAGCTGTGGATTATTTCCTATTGTGCTGTATTTTATTTGACAACATGATAATCTCATGAAAATGGGGCCTACTTGTTCCTTTTTTCTTTTCTTTCTGTGCGAGTGAGTCCCTACAATTCTTTTTTGAGCTACCCCTCCACTCTCCGAAGTAGTTCAAAACATAGTTCAAATTCTCTAGTATAACACCCATTGACGTGAGAATTCGAGACAATATCACAGCTATCCCGTGATACCTTAGCGCACAAACGTCAGTACAGAGGAGATTTTCACAAATGAGTTTGTGATTTTGAGTGTTAACGTCGAAACACCTTAAACCGTGTCATGCCCCTCAACCAACTCGTAGACCTTACCTAAACTTCATACTGTAAAGTATGAAGCGTGCGGTTTAGTGTGACGGAAGCGCACGGTTTTGCTCAAGTCTACGACTTGGTTCAGGGGTAAAATGCAAAAACTACTTTGAATTTTTTTATCAATTCTATCAGTGCGGCGATTCAATTTTTTTCTTCTGGAGCACATCATAACCTTATTTCTCCATCCAAAACAATTTTTGTCCTAAATAGAACCCCCACGAGATAGCTGAAAAACCTCAGGTTGACGGTCTAAGCTATTTCGACGTTAAGGTTCTACTCTCTGCAGTCAAACTCAGCACACGAGTGGACGTGTACTTATTGACTGAAGATCTCACTTCAGAAAGTCAACAAAGTTCCAACATAGCCATCTCGTCCACGCAGTGCGGAGCCAAGCTACACGCCACCGAGAGGTCCCTTCCTGGCAGGGACTAATTCCAGCCCTAACACCGTCGGAATCCACTTCTTCAGGGTACACGTACTGAGGTGGATAGTCACGTGGAGTAAGTAGTCCTGTGGTGGGGTTTTGTGAGGAAGGGAGGACCATGCCACGGTGCTCACCCCCACCAGGACGGGCTTGATTGGAAATAATCAATTGCTGCGGCAGGACACACTTCTACTGTCACCGATCGCGTTGTCCTTGGCCATCAGCATCATCAGCATCAATCAAGCATTGCTCGTTGGCAAACCAATTGTCCATGCTTGTTTAGAATGCTCGGCTTTTGTGTGAACTAGATTCCCCATATCTACCGAGGAGGAATCCTGGGAGAGAGCTCATGCTCTATATCAGGATTCGACTTCCTAACAGAATAACACTTTTGCACGTTTTCAACATCAGAAAACGCATTCCATCCATTGGAATGGGTTGTGCGGAGCAGATCTGAGAGGTGAGGGTGATCTGCATTCCATGGCTGTGAAGGCGAGAAGAAGAAGAATGCAAATTATTTAAGTTAAGAATAATTAAACTCTAGATAATATGTTAAATGTTTGCATCATGAAACATCCATCCAGTAATGGGATGAATGAAACGATTGCAGCTCAATCCTGGAAAGTAGCAAATTGACAAAGTACAATTGACAAAGTAGTAAATTAATAAAATGACTGTCAGGTCTGATTTTTTTAACATATTCATGATAACAGTACTACAAATAGTTCTATAGTTTTTGTTTTAAAGAAATGAAATCAAAAGATCTTATACCATTTTTTTATTTTTATTTTTTGTATTTAATGGTTGATTTTGTTGATTGAATGTATTTTATCCTTGCTTCTTGAACACTAAAACTTTGATTATTTACTGATCATTTTTTTAAAAAGAGATTACTTAATCACACATTTTATGCATCTTTTTCTATTATAAACAAAGATTGGAGCCCTGACTACCCTTTGATTGAGATGAAGTTAAATTCTTTGAATCATGTTCATTTTTCCAATCCACAATGAACTGTCTCACTCAAATGAAAAACACAAATAGTGTGTAGATCTTTGAGGAGAATATGAATCCCCCCAAAAAGCAAATGTCCGGAATCATTGCCATCACACAAATTAGAACAACTAATACTCAACATACATATGTTTTACACAAGTTTCTTCAATTAGATATTTTAATTTCCAATCTTTTTTATATTTTTTTTTTTTGTATTCATCTTGTAAAATGCCAGAAGATTCACTGTAGGTTCATAAATTCATTCATGCCTCTAATCTATCAATATAATAAGGAAGCTTAGGTATCAGATAAAGAGATAAAGAAGTTGGCCAAAATCAAAGAAATTGTAAACGAGCAGGAAGCCTTGCATAACCTGCAAAAAGACCTCTAATTTACTATGTGTCCATCAAAAGCTTTTCGTGCCCAATGGCACGAGTTTTCGCTAGTGATCTATAAAAAGATCCACTCTCTCTATCCCTTTGTCTCTCTCTGATTGCTGTACATGATTTGTAAAGACCCAGTTGAACGAGAGAATGAAAGCGAGGACAAGGTGTGAGTGTGGAAGGGGAGGAGGGAAGCCCTCTTCGCCATGGATCTTCACCACCGCTTCCATGCAATCAACCCCTGGATGATGCTGCTGCTCAGAATGTGTGAGCGTGGAAAGAGAGGCAGGGAAGGGCATGGATGGTGGCACAGAGTGAAGGTGGAGCTAGTCAGCCAGCCAGCCAGCCAGCCAGATAGACAGTGGGACTGGGCGAATAGACTGAGAGAGCTACGAAGCTTGTGAGGGAGGGAGGGAGGGGAGTGGGAAGGGGAAGAAGGGGACGATGGCGATGGGGATAAAGGGCGGGATGTGAGCTCGCTCGCTCTCATGCCCTGCGAGGAGCTGCTTCGTGCTCGGGTCACAATCTCCAGTCCCAGCACCCCCACCACCCAAAGGACGATGGAATGATTTCCACACCACAGAAGAGTGCTGAGACTCCATGAAGTTAGTACTTAGAGCAATAATGCAGCAGCAGCAGCAGGACCGGGCCAGCTCGCGTTGCGTAGCAGGCGTGGAAAGGGAGCGTAGCGTCTTGCTACAGGACAGGAGGGAGGTGCAGCACGAAAGGAAGAGATAGAAAGGAAAGGAACCCCCGTTCCAGAGGTCTAGCTCATCTCTGAACTTGCTAGCTTGATAGCTCGCTAGATACCTACCTCCTTCCCCCTCTCTCTCCTTCCCAGGCGTCATTCGATTTTCCCCTGGATACGTGTGGAAGGGATTTTGTACAGCAGTGGCGTGTTCAACGTCACTGGGAGTACAATTCCAGAGCCCCACCAGGACACCCTGGGCTCATTTCGTGACAAGCCAACCACCTCTCGTGCAAGGGAAACCCTTCCTGCATCTCAAGCGTCTCACAGACGGTAACTTTGCAAGGTTCAGATGAAGGATTGGAGTCGGTTAGAAATACACAGCTTCAGATTTGAAGAATGGAAACATGAGAAGTTGCTTCAAAATGCCACAAACGTCCAGCAAAAATCCCAAACAGCGCGTGCTGAGATGAGGTGACTACATGAAAAATGAAAGGGCATATAATTTGTTGACAAAGGAATTGTTACATGGTGGTATATATATCCAACAATGGGACAACAATCAACAGCACCACAAGGCGACCCAACGGAACGGCCAAAAACCTTGAAGCGCTGGATGGGGCTATGTTACAGCTCAAATGCACCATCAGCTGAATTGAAGACCTTCTCAGTGACAATAGCATGCGCAACATCCTTCATGGAAGGCAGGAACGGAAGGAGCACGATGTACAAAGGGGGCACTGCCTAACGGCCACATAGTACAGAGGGAGAAAAGAACAGAAAATTTCAAGAGAAAGAAAGGAGAGCAAGAAAGAGAGGAGAGATTAAAAAAAAGAAGAAAAGAAGCTGTAATCAAAATTGCATCTGCCTACTAGGTAATCTGATTGACCCTAGGCAGGAAGGTCGTCTTCATAACCCATCCAGAGAACTAGTTGGCGTCCCATGACTTTCCAGGAGAGCGGCCACTTGCACCTACGGATCGCAGATTGTCTCTTTGATTGAAAAATGCGCCGAGGTCTACCCCCGAACCCAGCGATGCGATACTAGCCAAGTCTCGTGGCGACAGCGTGCGCCCCATCCCTCCACCAGCAGCTGTGATCCCTGAAACTCCTCCTACCCCCAAGAAATCACGAGTAAACCTGTCACTACCATCATTCTCCCTTCTCGAAGAACCACCAAGACCTGGCAACAGAGATGAAGAACTCATGCCTTGCAACACTCCTTGACCTCCGGTGAACGTACTGTTAGCAAAAACTTCACCGGAAGACATCCGCTGCGTACCGGGCGGCAGCATTCCTCCCATACTGGTAGAATTAGGCCCAAACACAGAAGAGGGCAGACTACTTAATGGTGCTCCGAAGAGTCCAGCACCTCCAGACAAAGAATTCATAAGGTCTTGCACATTAGCGGAATTATCAGATAGTCGTCCTTGACCACCTCCAAAACTGTTTCTCTGCCCTATCGACGAGCCACCCAGACCCTGCGAAACATTCTGTAAATCACTTGGCCGCCTTGTTAATGGATGATTTACCATATTAGACATGTTATTAAGTGGAAGATCACCTGTCCTCCCCTGCTGCTGTTGCTGTTGAGGTTGTGATCGTGACTGCTGTTGATGCTGCGGCTGCGTCTGCGACTGCTGTTGGGATTGTTGTGGCTGTTGTGACTGCTGCCGCTGCTGTTGCTCTTGGCGTTGAACTTGCCACATGCCCATAGAGTTTGAATCCGCACCTCCCAATCCAAATCCTCGCAATAGGGAGGAATTGCTCACAGTTGCGCCCATTTGAGCCGCTTTCTGCAGCAGAGCTGTTGCAGACATCTGAGCAGAAGAATTGTGATGCTGCTGCTGCTGCTGCTGCTGCTGAGCGTTGAATAGTGGCGACACTGAGGACAGGTTTCCACCACCATTAGTATTTCCTGAAGAGGAGTTACTCGTCATTCTAGGTGAGGAAGTTGAGGACAATCCTGCGGTTACCGACCCTCTCTCCATACGGTTAGCTCCTGGTGTGAAATCTGAGAACCCTGAGATACTCATACCAGCGGTACCTCCACTTTGAGAAGGACTTGATCCTTGGATTCCTTGCAGTCCGTTTCCAGATGCGAATAAATGAGAGTACAGATTTCCAGAGGGTATCAACGGAATGTGATCACTGGAAGGTCGAGATGCCTGAGGCGCATCATACTCAAGTGGATTCATCATTCCAGAAAGACCATCACCGCCCTGCATCCCTTTTCGGGTCTGCATTAGAAAAGAGGAGCTACCATTCGATCCTGACAGCAGCTGATGCATCTGCTGCTGACTACCAGGAGGACCTGGTCCAGGTCCTAACCAGAGAGACAATCCAGTGCCAGTCCTAGAGACTGGTCCAGAGCCGGGAGTTCCACACCAACGAGATAGGTCATTGAGGCCACTGAGACCCGCCATAGATGGTGGTAAACTGCCACTTCTAGATGCTAATGGACCCGCGGAAGCCATAGGATCCCCACTCGTAATACCCACATCGTTACCGCGAGGAGAGGAAGGAGCACCCACGACTGAGAGGGATGATGAACGAGGGCCCATAAGGCCATTAGGTTGTTCACCACCTTGCTTTCCTGCTGATACTCGGGCACTCTCCTCTGCCAGAGCATCACAGAACGCTCGATGGGTAATAAAACTGTCACGCCTGCAATATTGTTGGGACTCTAGCGTCAGTCATCACATGCATTCGCAGATTGAGCTCAGTAAAAAAGATGCACATCTGGTCCCTCTATTGAGGATAGCTCCAGCTGATCTCAGAGTAAGAGATGACACATGGTGAATTTGAAGTCTCGAGGCCTTTCCGTTACATGGTGCAACTGACCTAACTATTGGCTTCTTAACCTCCACGTTTATGAACCACAGTAGCTTCTTGTCAAATCTTTTTCACGTGCAAATATTCATCAAATGCAATGAACCATGCAGGACCTTACCTGGAGAAAAGGGTACCACAATCGCAGCGGTACTCTCGAGTACCACAAGTCTTAGAGTGGGCCTTCCAGTCGGATTGAACAGCGTATCTCTTAGAGCACTTGTCACACTTCCACTTCTTTTCACCGTGCTTTCGGCAGAAGTGTTTTTTAATGCCAGTCAAGTCGCCCAGAGCACGCGACGGGTCGTGATGCACACAAGAGGGCTCAGGGCAGATGTAGACGCGCTTGCGAATCTCCTTGCTGGTCCGTTGCCGCAGCTTCCACGGCAAGTTGTGGCCGCGTCGGTGCAACTGCAAGTTTTGATCTCGCTGAAACCCCTTGTTACAAATTTCGCACACGAATCGATTCGTTGCCATCAATGTCTTTGGTGACAACGCTATCACCTCAGCTTCCGGGTCTGCGTATACAATCATCTAACACCGTTGGCATATTTAACCTCACAAATCCTATACAACATCTGATCTCGCGACCCTCAAAAAACCATGACGGAGAGAAGTCTTCAAGTTAGCAATAACTTTCACCTTTCATCCTCAAACCCGTTAACATCAATGAACAAAATGCAAGGGCAGCTAGCTTCAGACGTACTGAAGTATCAGACACTAAAGTATATCCTACTTCCGAATCCAGGCGCGCATATTGCCAGAAGATCTAAGGATGTAACAAATGTCCCATACATGCGGAGCAAAATAAAATCCAGTAGACCATCTAGAGATCACGTGCACTCCCGGGTGCAATAACACACAACAGTACAAGGCCGGACAGTGGTAGGAGTAACGTAGTCCACTGCAATGCAACTTGAACGCTCCCGAAGACCTAATCTAACGGTTCGACACGTCAATTAGAGCAGACAAAAGTAATTTGATTCTAGAGAAGAGTTTACGAATGTGATAAGAATTCTGCTTAGACTGCAGCTTGCAAATTCAGAAGCTAGTTCTTAGCCTTGAATGACGCGAAAGAGGACCAATGTGCAGTTGCGGTAACCTAGGAAGAAGTGGGTAGGAATAGCGCACCTGGAGTACCCGGCAGATTCCGCTTGCGTTTGACCGCAACAGCAAGAGGCTGAACACTAGACACCGTAACGGTGGTGGTAGTTGGGGTGGCCGGGGTGGACGATGTTGGCGGCATCCCAGGATTGGTGCCATCGGTGCGGTTGCCTGAAGACACACTCGCATCACCAGCTGATGCGCTGGTTAAGTTGGACAATGTCATTTCCTCTTCTATCTGTTGTTTCTTCACTGTAGCAAGGACAAGCTCAGCGGGGATACAGGAGGCGTCTGGCGTCCCAGATGGGGAGGGGCTAGGGAAAACGCGCCAAGGCCGGCACTGTTGACAGTTGACAACACCGCACCTGAGCTACCAAAAGCGTGCTCTTTTCGCACGTCATGCTCTCTCCTATCTGTGCGCCGGGCTAACAATCTTCCTCCATACGAAAGCAGCGTTGCAACAAACTCGAGCGATTCCTTCACTCACAAACCCATCGTTGGGCTTCCGTTTGCAGCCTTCTTATGCGCTCTCACTGCTGCAATAGTCACAAATTGCATCGTCATCATATACGTGTACTTTATTATTCAGCCACCTGCAAGCGCCGTCCGACCTACCGCTGCAGACCGCTGCTACTCCTACTTCTTCGTCCACCCCTAGAGAAACAAGCCACAGAACCGGACCACGGCCTCTGCCGAATAACGATTCGTCTCCTCCGCCTTCTTCGTCCATGCCTCCGCCGTGTGCAAGCCAGCCCCTTCACATAGTACACTATGCCTCATTCTCAAGCTACCCCGCCCAGCAAACTAACCGGGAAGAGAGAGGAGAAAGATAGAATAAAGAGAGGAGGAGGTGGGGAATCTATCAAAGTAACGATGCTCCTGTGACTAGATTACACCTCCGAATTAAACGCAGAACGGGGAGCGATGAAAGAAGGCTCCAAAAACAGGCTTTCGACGATGACGACAAAAGGATGGCGCAAGAGCAGGGGTCCCAACCCCACCCGACCCGGTGCGAGGATGCGAGGAGAGAGAAGTGAGGTGGGAGGTGGGGGCTGGGTAGGAGGAGGAGGAGGACGAGGGAGTTGTGTGAAGACAGCGAGGTGCCAGACCAGCCAGTCGAGTTGTTATTTTGCTATCGTAGAAGCTGTTTGTTGGTATGGAAGATGCCACGCCCACGACTGCACCGCACCACAGCGCCTGGGAACAATCGAAATCAGCACAAGAACGTCGTTGTCTGCCGTGGTGGTGGTTGTGGTGGTGATGGAGGTGTATTCCTGCGAGCATATACACACTTAACGTGGTTCCAGGGCCATTCCCAGGCCTCGGTCATAGACAGCTTGCTCGCTAGGCTTGCTCTCCCACAATTGGTTGCGACGACTTCATCGCTTCCCAAGGTGCTACTTTTCCACCTCCAGTTTCCCCGCTCGTTGTTTTTTCTTGCAGTTCCCGATCGTAAATTTTTCCCCCGATATTCTGTACTTCTTCTCGTTGATTCCCTCCCCTCCCTTCCCTTCCCTTGGTCGTAGAAGCTGAATTGTGCTGGGGTAGCCAATCCTAGCGGATGGGGTGACCCCTACTCCTCCTCCGCCTCAGCCTCTGCGCTGCCCCCAATTGTCTTGTTTCTTCTCGCCCCCTCTCTCGCTCTATTTCTCGCCCTTGGTTTTTTTTTATCTGCATCTTTTCATCCAACTTCACTTCGTCTGTTCCTTGCTCTCGCCTCCTCTTTCGTATCTACCCCTCCGACTTACGACTGTTGCAAGTTTCTCGCAAGTTGCTTTCTCTCTCTCCCTGTTTCTTTTCAGTTCGCCTGCAAAGTGCCCCCCCCCCTCCCATCCGAACTGCACTCTGTTTTGCTGAAAACACTAAATCGCACCAGACAATACACAGACTCACTTGCATATTGAAGCTTGATCGGTGCTGCCATGTCGAAGGCACTGGTGTTAATGTCCATTTGGGGATTTGTTATCGTCTTATTTCCTTCCCTCGTTACTTCCAGTTCATTCCGTTTTCCTTTTCTTTCCTTCCTTCCTCTTCTTTTTGCTATTTTCCTCCTGTGTACTTGAATAAGAATGCGGAGGTGTGTAATGGTGCTTCCACCCTCGCGTCCATGATGACTGTCAGACAACTTATTTTAGACATCAAGCCGAGGTCAATCATTGGCCTGGCTTTTCAGGTTCCCGGCCAACATGTGGAATAAATAAAAATGAATGTAATAAAGCAGTAAAGAAAGAGAGGAAAAGTAAAGGAAACAAAAGAGTAAGAACGGGGCCTTCATGAATCTGGATTTAAATTAGTTTATAAATATAATTAGCACAGAGCACGAGAGTGCAGCAGCAGTAGGAGTTATCACTGGAGGTGGCAGAGGAAGGAGTAACACTGTATCAGTAGAAGTAATTGAACAGTTCATTATTGCTGGTATTTGTGGCAATCATCTTTTTCTTCTTCTTAAAGAATATTAACAACAACAACAACAACAACCAGCAATGTGTGTGTAAGAATATATATATTTATATATATACACACACACATATATTCATGTATAAATGTAAAGGGTGTGTGTGTGAATATTTATTTATTTATTTATTCATACATAAATGTATGAGTGTGTGTGTGGGGAGGGGGCCTCGGCACCTCTTCTTCTTTTTTTTCTTCTTCTTCGTCTTTTTTGTCGTTAATGCTTACATTTGCATAATCAAACACCTAATTGAAGTTCATTTTCTAGCAGTTTGGATTTGCAAATGCATTTTTGTGTGTGTGTGCATATATATATATATATATATATATATATAGATATATATACTTTGCATAAAAATCAAAATTGCACGTGCACATTTTCATTGAAAAATGCCCAAATATTGCTTTTTATTTGAGTCTTCTACTTTGCTAAAAACCAATATCATTCAAAAAATAAAAAATATACATTAGTTTTATTCTTAAATGAATAATATCTTTATAAGAAAACAAAAAATGTATAATAATGGCCTTACATACTATATTTAGTTGGATATTTTGAAACAAATATATTTTAGTAGTATTTGCGACAACAGTGATTTACACTAGTCATGTATTTATTTATTCATTTATTAATATGGCTTTTCAGAACATGACAAAACCTTGTGAACAAAATAATGCTCGTTGAATATTCTAAAATAAGATGAACATATTGAGCGTGTCTCTCTTTGTGTGTGTGTATGTATGTATATACAGACATTCATGCATATTTATAAGAACAAAAAATCAAAGGTTGTCAAAACCTTCTGCTGTAATTTTTATTTTTTTGTTAGTTTCAAAAGAACAGATACAGAAAGTAATTCAACAAGAAGAATTAAATAAAATAAAATACTCATGTAAGGCAGTCTACTAAATGTAGAAACAGGTGCAAAAGATTTTATATAATCCTTTACACTTTTTAAACATGGGATATATTTGATACCCAATTACCAAAACTATATCTACCTTGTCCTAGTTATTCACTCTGTCTTGTCTCTTATGATCTTGTTTAGCACACAATGCATTAGAAACATGATATAAAGCTGTAGTTTTTTTCTCACAAAAGTATTCATCATATTCAGTATTTCTGGGTTTTAAATGAGCATTTTATTCACTCGTTTCTGCAAATATCAGATAAAATCTTACAGAAATTCAATTTTGAATTATGTTGCACTTGATAGACATATATTCCCAAATATATTAAGTTAATTTCATTTTCTAGAAATTACTATTATCATTATTATTATTATTATTACTATTTAAATAGAATGTTTTTTTTCATCTTATGAATAAAACAAATCTTCAAATACTGCTATCCTAAAATATGTTATTGAGAGAATGGTAACCTGATCATTATGACTCATAACATCATAACATTAACACCAAATAGACAACAAAAAGACATATATATTCATTCATATATTGCAAACTTTACTTTCGTGTTCAAGAAGACAATATATGAGACTTAACCGTACTATTTGGTCAACTGTAGAGAACACTATATTTTTTATTTTCACTATTAACATTATTGCATATTTTCGAAGTCAGTATGTGACTTGATAAAAAAATTCGGTTTTTATTTAAATAATGAATAACATGAAAAATGCAAATGAGCATACATAAATCAATGCTTGGAGATGTCTGAGCAAAACTGATACTGAGATTTTCAAGTGTGATTTTTAGAAAATATCTCTCGTAGATTTTTTGAATTGTGGCTGAAAAATGTACTTTGCAAAAAAAAAAAAAAAAAAAAATGATTTAGTTTTAATTCTATTTTTATATTTATATAAAATATTTGATCATTAAATTCAAAACATACAATTTGTATAAAAAACATTTACATCAAATTTTTTCACAAAATATACATATACTGTGAATATATATATATATATATATATATATATCAATCAATCAATCAATCAAAGGATATTGATAATGTGATAGCAATTTTTGCTACTGCTACCACAATTTGCCATCCACCACATGCCACAACAATTTTGGCTATTACTGCCACAACATGCCACCCACTTGACATATTATATTATTTTTTTCCTTAATTCCATACAAAAAAAAATAAATTTTTTAATACATTTTAAAAAAAATCAAGTTATATAAAAATAATATATATATATATATATATTAAAATAAATAAGAATAACAAAAAATAAATGAAAAATATATTTTAATTTTTAAAATTATAAAAAATAATGAATATAAATATAAAATATATATCTGTAATTCAAAAATATATATATTTTTATTTAGAATTCACAAAGATGTGGGTTGCATGAGATGGATAGCGGATTGCGGTGGTAAAAGCAAAACATTATGGTGGCATGTTATAGATAGAAAATTGTGATGGCTATAGCAAATATCATGTTGGCAATAGAATTATCCTTGCAAAAGGTTTTTTTTTTTTTTTTTTTTTTCCTTTGATAAATTGTGATTAAAATAGTAAATTTTAATGTAATTATTTTTTTAATTAAAAAATTTTAAAAGTTATATGAAAGATTTAATCAATTAATTATAAAATAGAACTTGTATAAAAAATTTATATAAACATAGTGCACATAGCATATATGATTTTTGAATATATAAGTAAGGTATTGCTAATACCGCTATAGTTTTTGTTGTTCCCATCACAACTCTATAAAATTTCAACCAAGTTTTAATCTTTTTGATTTTGATTTTGATTTTATTTTTATTTTTGTTAATACCACTACAATTTTTTTTATGATTCAATATGTGTATCTTAGAAATCTTAATTTTTTTTTATTGAGAAATATATATATATATATATATATATATATATCAAGTAGGTGGCAAGATATGGTGGCAATAGCAAAATCAATGGTGGCATTACCAATTCTCTTTATATACATTTATATATACATTTCTCTATATATACATTTATATGTGTGTGTATATATATATATATATATATAGATATATCTGAAGTACTTTTGCATCTAGGAAGGCATTAATTACATAATACATTAGTTGACTCAGTTGTGATGGGTATAGAATTATATATACATCCAAATTTAATCAATTATAAATTATACATTTTCATGAACAATTCATTTTAAATTTCGTGGCACAAAAGGTTGGAATGTATTGATGCAAGTCTTAATGTATAACATGAATGGTGAACATTGAATATTGTAGAAGTGCACCTTAGTCTCAATGAGGTAATTCAAAAGTTATCCAAAGAATAATAGCATTTGACCAATTTGAAATAATATATATATATATATATATATATATATGTGTGTGTGTGTGTGTGTGTGTTTATATTTATATTTATTTATATTTAGTTTTAGATTTTCAACATCTTCAACCTCAATATTCTTTAATAAAATTTTAATCTTCTTATCAATAAATAAATACACATTATTTTGTATAATTATATCAAGATACGATTTGAAGTGAGCATTGAAATTTTTGTAAATGTGTAAATGTGTATTTATAATCACAAAAAGTGTAAATGATATAATCATATCCATATCAAATCTATAACCAAAAATGCAATTAAGTGTGTTGTATTGGTTCTTTTTTTATTCATATATTTTTTCATTATTATTCAAAATAAAATTATCTAATGCATGCATATTTTAAAGTTGATTAAAAAAACATCAAACCATATTAAATAATTTCTTTTTAAACATTGATGTTGGAGTTTTATGTATTAGGGTTATGTAAAATTTTATCACTGACTCAATGATTTTCAGTAATAGAGTTAAAATTAAGTTCTTAAGTGTAAATATGTATGTATGTATGTATGTATATATATATATATATATATATATATATACACGTTACACAACCCTTGTTTTGGTTACAAAAAGTAAAATCGAAATCTTTGAATGGTGAAATAAAGAATTTCCATTTTCAGATGTATATATTTATATGTACATACACACATACATA